ACACAGATCGATGGTATGCATGGATTGATGGCATACATGGATTGATAGTATACATGGATGATAATTATGAAAATCATTGGCTATCAAAAGTGATCAACAATATTTAATTTTTAAGCTATATGAAACTGTGAAGCATTCAAATATAGTTTATGTGGCCAAAACAAACAAAAAATCAAAATCAGAATAACTGTTAATCTGCTAGTTGCCATGCACATGTCAGTTTTGTGAAATACACGTGTCATAAAAACACAATAGTTTAAAAGTAAGATGAAAATTAACACCCTCAAGTATAGGAACTGATTATCTGAAATGAATGGTATGAGGTGACAAGTTAACTAGTGCTATACAATTAAGATTTCAGCCTTATGTACTTATTGTTATTGCTTTCACCGTTGTTAAGATTGTTATAGTTTTGTATTTTATAGATCGATGAAATTGATGTTACACGTAAATTCCTTGTTTTTTTACCGATATAGACATTTTTCCTTGGGGAAAAAAACAACAACAACAAGATTCGTGTTGCACTTGTGTTGCATTAGAAGGACATAAATGCTACTTTTTATTAAAGAAATCATCTGCATGGGGTAAAAATGAAATATAATAACATTGTGCAGTTTTTCATGTTTATACATGATTAAAGGAGTAAGGAAAATGGTTATACATGTACATTATTTTTTAATTAATCAAGTAATTTTATGATAGTTTTCACTTGTTCACAGCTTTTACTTAAGTCTTGGTGTTATAAAGAGATCTGTTGAAGAATAAAAGAATCATCACTTGTTAAGCTAGCATTTTAATCAATGTGAACAGTCTATTTTTGTATGTGTTAAATTTGCTTGAAATATTTACTACTTGCTCTATTGTTTTCCCAACTGTGTTTGTTACCTCTTAGTTACCCAGCTGTGTTTGTTAACTCTGAGTTAGCCACCTATGTTTGTTAACTCTGAGTTAGCCAGCTGTGTTGTTACCTCTGAGTTACCCAGCTGTGTTGTTACCTCTGCATTACCCAGCTGTGTTGTTACCTCTGAGTTACCCAGCTTTGTTGTTACCTCTGAGTTACCCAGCTGTGTTGTTACCTCTGCATTACCCAGCCGTGTTGTTAACTGTGAGTTACCAAACTATGTCTGTAACCTTTGCGTTATCCAATTGTGTTTGTTACCTCTGAGTTACTCAGCTGTGTAGTTATCTCTGAGGTACCCAGCTGTGTTTGTTACCTCTGAGTTACTCAGCTGTGTAGTTATCTCTGAGTTACCCGGCTGTGTTTGTTACCTCTGAGTTACCCAGCTGTGCTTGTTACCTCTGAGTTACTCAGCTGTGTAGTAATCTCTGAGTTACCCAGCTGTGTTTGTTACCTCTGAGTTACTCAGCTGTGCTTGTTACCGCTGATTAACCCAATGTGCTTGTTACCCTCTGTGCTACTGCTGTTGTTTTCCATTTTGTTAGTTGCTACATATATAGTGTTGCCACTGTATTAATATAGTGTTTCCACTGAGTTAAACTTTAGATTGATGTTACTATGGTATTACCACTGTTTTACTAGTGTTACCACATAGTGTTAGTGTGGTTTTACCACTGTGTTGACATAATAGTACCAATTTACTACATTGGTGTTACCTCTGTTTGAGTCTGATACAAAATGTACAATGTTTTTACCACTCTGTTGATGTGGTGTTGACAGTTTTTTCTGTGTGACTGAGCTATTACTGGTACTAATTTTTAAAGGAAGTAATATCTTTTTACGTGTGTGTTATTAGGGTATTACCACTTTGTTTCAGTGAGATCATCACTGAGTTCTGGAAGTTTTGTGTAAGTGTGGTAAAACCACATTGTGTCTATGATCTTACCACTGTATTTCCATATTGTCATAGTAAACTGACATTAATGCTACAATATATGATGTTTGTGTTTGTGTATGCATTATTACAAAATGCCTTTTGCAATTAAATGTTGATTTTAGTTGATTTTACAGACATTTGTGAATAAACATACAAAATTTTGATAAATTGATAATAAAAATGCATTTCCATGCTTTAAATGACATTATTTGAAATGAAATAAATAGAACAATGAAATTGTGACAAAATTGTTATAAATTCACTTTATTTAATTGATCAAAAAAGATACCTGTTGATAACAAGTTGCTAAATAGGTATATTTTGTCCTATTTACTCCATGTGTACATTAACTTTTTTCTATTCTTAGGTATTTTTTCCAGGTATTTTATTGATTACTATGTGTTGTTAATTCTTTATTTTTAATTGAAGAAAATAAATACTTATAAAGTTTTAACACCTTAGTGCTAGAGCCAGATTTTATGAAAATCTTTTGACTACAAAAGTATTTGGGAGAAAGTGATTTCTAACAAGATAAAAAAATGTCTATAAAATCATGTTTAGTCAGTAGCTAATTGTATTGTGATGTACATGTATAGTAACAGTAAATCATTCAAATAAATATGCTCTCCCAAAAATGACATTGTGAAATTCTATGAAGTAAATAGTATTGTAATTTTTGAAACTTCTTAGTTTTCTTTTCACCTGATGTGGGAAAGCAATGAACAGAGAGATAGTTCGAGTTGTTCTCTGCTGATCAAGATTGTAAGAAGACATTTATGACCATAATACTGTCAGTTTCACTAACATAATAAAGTGATGAAATGAAAGTCAATCACACAAATGATATCAATGGTTTGCTTGTTAATCTGCTAGTGATATCACAATGGCCTGCTTGTTAATCACAAAAGCGATACCAATGGTCTGCTTGTTAATCACACAAGTGATACCAATGACCTGCTTGTTAATCACACAAGTGATACCAATGGTCTGCTTGTTAATCACACAAATGATATCAATGTTCTGTTTGTTAATATGCTAGTGATGTCACAATGGCCTGTTTGTCAATCACACAAGTGATATAAATGATATGATTGTAAATCACACATGTGATATAAATGGTATAATTGTCAACCACACATGTGATATAAATGGTATGATTGTCAATCACACAAGAGATATAAATGGTATGATTGTCAATCACACATGTGATATAAATGGTATGGTTGTCAATCACATACATGTGATATAAATGGTATGGTTGTCAATCACATACATGTGATATAAATGGTATGGTTGTCAATCACATACATGTGATATAAATGACCTGATTGTCAATCACACATGTGATATAAATGGTATAATTGTCAACCACACATGTGATATAAATGGTATGATTGTCAATCACACATGTGATATAAATGGTATGATTGTCAATCACACATGTGATATAAATGGTATGATTGTCACTCACACATGTGATATAAATGGTATGATTGTCAACCACACATGTGATATAAATGGTATGATTGTCAATCACACAAGAGATATAAATGGTATGATTGTCAATCACACAAGAGATATAAATGGTATGATTGTCAATCATACAAGTGATATAAATGGTCTGCTGCTTGTCAGTCACACATGTGATATAAATGGTATGATTGTCAATCACACAAGAGATATAAATGGTATGATTGTCAATCACACATGTGATATAAATGGTATGATTGTCAATCACATACATGTGATATAAATGGTATGATTGTCAATCACACATGTGATATAAATGGTATGATTGTCACTCACATATGTGATATAAATGGTATGATTGTCAATCATACAAGTGATATAAATGGTCTGCTGCTTGTCAGTCACACATGTGATATAAATGGTATGATTGTCAATCACACATGTGATATAAATGGTATGATTGTCAATCACATACATGTGATATAAATGGTATGGATGTCAATCACATACATGTGATATAAATGGTATGATTGTCAATCTCATACATGTGATATAAATGGTATAATTGTCAATCACACAAGAGATATAAATGGTATGATTGTCAATCACACATGTGATATAAATGGTATGATTGTCAATCACATACATGTGATACCAATGGTCTGATTGTCAATCATGCATGTGATATAAATGGTATGATTGTCAATCACACATGTGATATAAATGGTATGATTGTCAATCACATACATGTGATATAAATGGTATGATTGTCAATCACACATGTGATATAAATGGTATGATTGTCACTCACATATGTGATATAAATGGTATGATTGTCAATCATACAAGTGATATAAATGGTCTGCTGCTTGTCAGTCACACATGTGATATAAATGGTATGATTGTCAATCACACATGTGATATAAATGGTATGATTGTCAATCACATACATGTGATATAAATGGTATGGTTGTCAATCACATACATGTGATATAAATGGTATGATTGTCAATCTCATACATGTGATATAAATGGTATAATTGTCAATCACACAAGAGATATAAATGGTATGATTGTCAATCACACATGTGATATAAATGGTATGATTGTCAATCACATACATGTGATACCAATGGTCTGATTGTCAATCATGCATGTGATATAAATGGTCTGCTTGTCAATCACACATGTGATATAAATGGTATGATTGTCAATCACACAAGTGACTTAAATCCTGTGTTTGTCAGTGACACACATGCTATAAGTTACCTGCTTGTCAATCACTCAATTGATGAAAATTATCTACTTGTCAATCAGTCAGGTGATGTCAGTGGCCTGTTTGCCAGAGACACAAATGATATGAATTACCTGCTTGACAATCACACAAGAGATATATATATTTCATGATTGTGAACAGACAACTGCACAAGTGATATAAATACATGCTTGTTAATCGTACATGTGATAATAAATTAACTACAAGTGATAATGGTCTGCTTGTCAAACATACTTGTATTGTCTATAATAAAATCAATAAAATCTGATTGTTTTCATACTTTTTAATACAAGGATATTATATTGCATGAATTACAAGATAAAACATATTTATGTTAATGCACCTTTGCTAAAATAAGAGAACTCCGGATCCGTGAATTAATACAATGATGACGATAACGATGGTATTATTCGTTGAAATATTAGCTGACAATAATGGCGGCGCCCATGATGTGAATTTTGTCGGTTTGTAAATTAATCTTTTTTAGCAGAATCTGGTGATATTAAGAATAGAAACTCAAGATGACGGATGCATGGAATGAGATACAAGCATTAAAATCGAAACAGAGCAGCTTTAGAGCTAAAATAGCCGCCAGGAAAAAGGAACGAGAAGGTCTTGTCGCTGAGATATCGAAATCGACAACTTCCCCGAGTGTCCCGTCTTCAAAACCGTCATCAAGTGGAACTGAATGTATGTCATTATGAAACATATAGTTTTTGCTTTACTTAATAAAAGTTAATATGATTTTATGTCTTGAGATTGTGAGATACTTTCGTTTTGGTTTAGAATCTCAAATTATATACATATAGGCCTATTCATAACTTTTATCAGTCAGTGTTACGGTACGTTACGATACCGAAATCAACTTGATTTCGGTAAAGTTACCGAAATCAACTTTTCATTACCGAAATCAACTCATAAAATCACAATTAACCGTTTTATTACCTTTTTTTCATTATAATTTATTACAATATGTTTAGTTTGACTTTCATGCAAAAAATTAGTTCGAAATAATTTATAATTATGAAATTAAAAACAAATATCTAAATATCCCTGATTTGTCACAACCGAAATATATGTTACCATACCGAAATCGGCTTGTAAAAGTTAAAATAAATATTTTAATTGATCTTTTTTAATTAATTAATATAAAATAATTCAAAGTGAACCACAAAAAAAGGAAAATGACATATAATTATAAAAAATGAAGATGTTATAGATGAATACGTATGTTATATCATGATTACTTCCCTTGTTATTAATGTATCGCATTACCGAAATCAACTATTACGATTTCATTTCAATGATGAGAACAACCCCTAAATAATTTGAAGATAAATACCTCACGAATATGTTCTTTATTGGCCTTTGATTATAATTGTATTTTTTGTTGTACACGTCTTGAAGTGAGAAATATATAATAATTTTTACAGGTTGATATTAAAGAGAGCTTTAGTAAGTAATGATGAAACATAATCTCTGAATCAAGACATTCTAATACATGCATACATTTTAAGGATTGTGTGAACTACTTATTATAAATATAAGTCCTTCTTTTATGATAAGCTTGTGTATTACTGTATTAAATAAGGTGTTAAATGATTGAGACAGGAGGTGCAGTTGACAGATATACAATGTACATGTATGTTAAAAATAAAAGATTATAATGAACCATCGGTTTACATGTATTTCTTGATAAACATTAAAAAACTAAAACATATATATGAACAAGGGTAATTTGACTAAAATATAAAAATGATGTCATATAATAAAGAGTCCTCATAACATATGTTAACGATTTGTTAATATATTGTTGAACTGTTCAATAAAAGAAAGACACAAATTGCTGGATTACAAATATAAGATACAAACTTTCCAATTTCCAATTTTACTGCCTAAAACATTATACAATGTTAATGGCAAATTTTAGAGCAGTCGAATTCTATATATCTGTATTCAAATTTATAAAAGAAAATCATAACTTCCAGTAGAAGTTGGATATTTTTTCTTCATAAAACAGATACATGTACAAAATTTATAATTAGCTTTAACTCACATTATACAGTATTGTATTTTTCCATCATAGCCCGATAAGTTATCCCATCCGCTCAAAATTAGCATTTGAAAAGTGCGATTTGCTTAGAAAATTGTTATGCACGGCAATCACGTGCAGATATTTAACATGCTTGTGACAGCTTCCATTTAAGAACATAAAATTTCCGTCAAAATAGCTCCCAAGGATATTTTTTTGTACATATAAAATAATTGCAGTTTTTTTAATATATATGATAAGATTGCTATTATATTAGGTCAAAAACATGAAAATAAAAATTATAGCAGATGTATTTTGAGTTTTAATCATGTTTTAAATTTCATGTTGCTAACGTCATTATTTTGACAGAATATTTGACGGATATTTTTACGTTCACAACATTCAGAAATTGGAAAAATTAAGCATTTCTCTTTATTATAATTAGCAACATTTTATTCTAAGTAATAAAAGATTGAAAACTGTATGTAAAGGAAGTACTATCTCTGCAGAGAACAGGCCAGATACAGATTTATTCATTTTTGATGATGTTGCTAAACGTCATTTTTTGACGGAACAAATTGTTGCTAGAATCAGTTTTGGACGGAACAAATTGTTGCTACCATCATTTTTGGACGGAAAAATGTTCTTTCACAATTTCTAAAGTACTTTTTCGCAATGGATACAAGAAAACAACTGACAACAAGTAAAAGTTTTCAAAGAGCAAACAAGTAAATTATGTAAATTTACTTGGACATTATCCGAAATTAACTGTCAAAACACTGGCCATCAACTTTTCTAGGCACTAAAGAACGTATTTTACAAAATAATCTGTCAATGGCTATTGAAACTTTTCAAAAGATATGTTATATTTTAGGGCCGAGAATTATATTCAAATATTCGAATATTCGAAACACTACCGAATATTCGAACATTGAAAAACGAATACGAATATTCGAAAAAAAAAGGAGAAATGTTTCATTTTTTGTCATTACTTTCAAATTTCAATTCAGATTGTAAATTAACCTTTGCCCTTTCTTTCACCAGGTGTTCAAATGTTGGTATGACGCGTGTCAACAATTATCGCCAATTAACTTTGAAAACTTTGGGGTATAGTTGATCAAAAGGGCACCCGTTTCACAGTTTGCAATTTACCTGTTGAAACAGTTTATAATGAAAATTTTTCCGATTTTAATTATCTTATTTTTGTTTTCTGTGTTAAAATCTTTCCGATTAATCAATAATTGTCTTAAATTTTGTGAATAAGAATAAATTAGCACCATTATTCGGCGCGTTATGAAAGCATATGAAGTGTCTAAATTCTGTCAGAATATATTTATTTCCGTAGGCATTAGACTCCGTGTGATATTTACCTCGTTATAGCTAAACTTATCTTAAGAATATTTTAAACTTTATCTAAAATTATAAATAAAAAATATTTGATACAAGTTAAGTTTCAATATCATTATGTGTCTTTGGGGATAAATGGCTACGATGATTCATATTACTGTCAGTCAAGTCACGTGAGTTACCTCCCGTTAATAAGACAGCGGTCGGGTTTACTGAACAAAAGGCAATCAAATTATGAATTTATTTCAAAAGTAAACATATATCTCGATTTACAATATATAAATTAAAAAAACTTTGACATAGCAATAAAGGTCTTTTTAATCGCCGATATAATATATTTCTAACAGTTTTTGTAAGAAAGTATGAAAACAGTCTGCACCAAATTAGATGTAAAAGCACCAGTCACCATGTCGGCCTTTCTGATGGGCTATTAAGTGTAACTGTACACCAAACACTCAAAATTTGTAGTATAATCTAGATCCATGCATAGACAGTAAAGGTTCAGCAAGTTGTTTAACAACAAACAAAGAAAGATTTCTCCTCCAATGTCCTTAATTGTCGCTTTCCTTTCTTATAGAACTGGACCCACAATCCATAGACTTTCTCCTCTCTGTGCAGTTCATGGGTTTGAACAACCTGCAAAATGATGTACAATCAATGACTTGTTGCACCAATAACATTTAATCAATTACCAGTATCTATCAAAGAGGTCAAACTGGACTCAATGAACCAATCAAATGTATTTACCAAGTATTCACAACTGGTAATGAAGTCAAGCTCTGATTGACATTCAAATGTTGCTTCATATCATCACAATATTAACCGGAAGAAAAGACTTAAAATGCATATACACTACATGTATAAACAAATAATATTTGCACATGAACAGACAACTGCTCTACCTGAATAGTAAGGCTATATTATTAGTTATAAAGATTTTTGACAGGTTATATGGCCCTATATAAATGGCTGTTTGTAAAAAATATAACCCAAATCGCTAGCAAGGATCATTTTTAGAGGAATAAAGCAAGATTTCTTTATTAATCAACAATAGCTGTGTCACGTGTATAAAACACTATATAAACGTCAAGATTATCCAATGAAAAGCGACGTTACAAACATGCAGTACATGTATTATAAAAATTATTTAATAATTAATCTTTATTAAATAAATGCTATATGGCTGGGGCTTGAAATACTGTTATATGGCTGGGAATTCAACTCATGTTGTATGGTTAAGGCTTAAACTCATGAACTCCGGAGATTGATATCTGACTGCAAATCTTGTCAGCAAGAGTGCCTTATATTGGGTTTTAACATATATTAAATGTGATGAAGACAAAAAAACAACTTTTTAACACACAAGTAACAATTTTTTTTAAAAAACATAACTTCCAAAGTAACAAAAATGGAACAGCACAATACAGGCCAAACAAAAGTAATGCATTGAAGAACAAAGCCAGTATTAATTGCTTAAGCTTCTTATAAACGCTGATAAATCTTTGTCCATTTCCCGAAAAATTGAAAAAAAATACTGATTGCACCTTTTGACAGACAACTGACGAATTTGCTAGTTTGCATTGACTTTTTTTGTGTACTGAATTTAACCAAACTGTTAAAACATTACTACTTACAACAGCATTAAAACTTTCTGATCCATTTCTGATGAGAAGGTTAGTTCCTACAGGGTACCTGCATGAAAAGTTGTTGAAAGGTAGACCTTTAAAAACTGATAACCATGCCTTTAAAAACTGATTCAAAAATTAACTTGTGCACACACTCTCCATATCATTTTAGACACATTACCTCTTTTTCTGCCTCACTTGAAACAGAGGTGTGAGACGAAAGACTTAAGACACAAGGACTTTTATCAATTGGTCAGAGAGAAATGGCCTGACCGAGAATCAAAGCTACAACTCTCAAAATGAAAAACAAGTGCACTTACCACCGCGCCATCATGCCCGGCATTTTATAGGGTGGGTATACAAAGAGACAAAGAAACTGTCCGCCAAATCATCGCCACAAGTCTTCAAATGCTTCGAGTCACTGCAAACAAACAAGATTTTTACATATTAAGTAAATCTTAAGTATTCCTACATATATCATTATTGGGAATTTTTAGGTATACCTTTCTGCAAACTTGTAGAAACATAACTTTTAAAAGCATAAATGAGAAAATAGCATTAATTTGTAATGAGGCAAGTTATTCATAATTTACCTTTGCTTGGAAGCAGGTATACCAATGTCTTCAATCAAACTGTCCGCCAAATCATCCCCACAAGTCTACTTTTCTGCAAACTTGTAGAAACATAACTTTTCAAGACATATAAATGAGAAAACAGAAAACATTAATTTCTAACAAGAGCTGTCGGTAGGACAGCAACACTTGACTATTCTTAGTGCTTGATAGTAAAAAAAAATGCTTGATAGAGTTACCTCCTCCTGTCTACAGGTTGGGGTCATGATGGTGAACATGTGTGCAAAGTTTCAAAGCCATATATGTCAATGGACTTTGAAAATATTTGAACTATTACAAAAACTTTAACGTAAATTCTAAGTCCAAAAAGGGGCATAATTCTGTCAAAATGCTTGATAGAGTTACCTCCTCCTGTCTACAGGTTGGGGTCATGATGGTGAACAAGTGTGCAAAGTTTCAAAGCCATATGTCAATGGACTTTGAAAATATTTGAACTATTACAAAAACTTTAACATAAGTGGTTACGCCGACGCCGACGCTCGGGGTACTACAATAGCTCTACTTATTCTTATCGAATAGTGGAGCTAATAAGGCAAGTTATTCATAGTTTACCTTTGCTTGAGAAGTGACAATAACATGAAAAGTGACATTTACATACTGTTCATATGTTTATAGACAATAAATAGTTTAGTACAGTGAAGATAAATGTTATACTCAGACAATTAATTATATTGATTATTATGTTTTGTTCTGGTTTTCAATGTAATCTATTGTTAGTCATTTGATATTCCAATCCACACATTTTTTTTAACAACATTTAAATAAGACAATGAACAAAGAAAAAAAAATGGGGCTGATCTGACTTGAGGCCGATTTCGCTTGGGGCCGATTTGACTATTTTGGGGCCGATCTGACTTGGGGCCGATCTGACTTGGGGCCGATTTGACTGTAATTCAACTCAATCCATCTCTCACTACCTGGTATTACTGACACTACAATGTTTACATGTAGATTTATTATGTCAAAACATTGACGGTTGTCAAAATATGACGATCGCATCATTAACAGCCGTCAAAGAATGACGATAGCAACAATTGTGTATGTCGATAAATGACGTATGCAACAAGAATGTCCGTCAAAAAATGACATTCGCAACAGCTTTAAGCGTTAACAGTCATTGGAAGCAGTAGACGTCCGTGTATTCATCTATTTCCTTCATACAACTCGACTTTAATATGTTTTCTCTTCTTTAAAATATATACAAATATTTATATGTACTTATTGTTGCTATCGTCAACATTTAAAACACTTGACAGACACAAACTTACTCAAAATAATTTGGATCATGTAATCGAGCGTCTCAATTTGGCCATGTTTTTGCATTCGGATACTTCACGGATTTAATCGTAGTTTCTTGTCACTATGCAAAAAAAGGGAAGTAACAGCTATAAAACTGAGGAAACAAATGTGCGAACGTCATTCACTAAAATTGACAGAAATTATGATCGCAACCTTTTTTCAATAAAATTTCTGGTTATGGCTTCAAAACTTAAGAAACCACCTGTAAAACCAGAAAGTACCAAGTTTAACACTAACTTTGAATCCCCACCCAATACATAATCACACAATAACCGAGTCGATGGACAGTTTTTGCGAACGTTGCTTTTTTGACAGACGTTCATTGTTCATCATCTACATTATTCTAATTCCTTTATTTTGCAAAATAATTGAAAAAACACAATAACTAATCAAATAGAATGCAAGGCAATACATACCCCAACAATAAATTGTCTTTGTTGAAATAAAACTTCCAATATTATTCGAAAATGCGAGTATATATCCGACCTGGTGAAGAAGCTGGGAGTTCCGTCCGTCAAAAAGATGATGATTTCCAATTTAATTTTTAGTTATTTTGTTCATTTCAATATAAAATTAGATCAGGAAATTGATTTTTATTGATTTTATTGATGTACTTTATTCAAATAAATGCATGTACTTTTCAGGTGAGCTAATTTAACCCCAAAAAATCACATTTCATAAAATTGACGGAAATTTGACAGAACTTTTACGTTCTTAAATGGAAGCTGTCGCGTGCTAATATCTTGTTATAAATGTCGTGATGTAATACATAATTTTCGTATCAAATATCTCTAAACCTGCAGTATATTTTATTGCATAATGACTTAAAGTAAGTCAACCCCTGTTCGAAAGTTCATTTCATAGGTTAGAAAAAAAATCTTACTTCGTAAGGGTTCTTTGTTAATTAACTTAACGCTCTCATCAATGCAGTCGGGTTTTCTTTAATTTCAAAAACATAAATTATCTTAAATAAACACTATACATGTATCATATATGTATTATATATACATAATTAAAGCTTCACAGCTGATTTCGGTAATGCTAAACACATAACTGGATGTTTAGAACAAAGGGAAGTAACTCTAATTACATTTTTGTTAATAACATCATTAAAATAAAATATTTTCACTACATTTTTTAACTGAAAGTCTATTTCACTAATTTTCATCAAATAATGAAGAAATAATAGCAATATTTTAACTAGGCTAGTTTTTACGAGTTGATTTCGGTAATGAAAAGTTGATTTCGGTAACTTTACCGAAATCAAGTTGATTTCGGTATCGTAACGTACCCTGTTACGGTACGTTACGATACCGAAATCAACTTGATTTCGGTAAAGTTACCGAAATCAACTTTTCATTACCGAAATCAACTCATAAAATCACAATTAACAGTTTTATTACATTTCTTTCATTATAATTTATTACAATATGTTTAGTTTTGACCTTTCATGCAAAAAATTAGTTCGAAATAATTTATAATTATGAAATTAAAAACAAATATCTAAATATCCCTGATTTGTCACAACCGAAATATATGTTACCATACCGAAATCGGCTTGTAAAAGTTAAAATAAAAATTTAATTGATCTTTTTTAATTAATTAATATAAAATAATTCAAAGTGAACCACAAAAAAAGGAAAATGACATATAATTATAAAAAATGAAGATGTTATAGATGAATACGTATGTTATATCATGATTACTTCCCTTGTTATTAATGTATTGCATTACCGAAATCAACTATTACGATTTCATTTCAATGATGAGAACAATGACATAAGAACATAACACTGACTGATAAAGGTTACATGAATACATCCTAGTCCATGAAGTCCGTTGCTAACCAGAAATCAGTCAGACTCCAGCTTGAATATAGTTCCGAAGTATGTTCTCCCCCACACCAAAATACAAATAGATCAAATTGAAAATGTTCAAAGAACAGCAGCCCGATGGAACAAGCTAAATTATGGTCAAACCTAGCTGTAGCTGCTGCATTTCAGACTTGCAGTACTTCTTTAACTTAAGTTACAAAAACTGGAACTGACAAATAGATACTAGGTTATCCATTTTCTACAAGATTCACCATGGTCTGGTTGATATACCCATAGATCACAAACATCACTCCGAGGCCATCCCCTGTGTTATAGGTTATTCACAGCAACTTCAGACTATTATAAATTCTCCTTCTTTCCTTCCTTCCTAGAACTGTATACCACTAGAACCATCTAACCTCTGCAGTTGCCTGACTCCCTGCCACTGATCAGTTCAGTGCTGGTCATTGCTTGCATTGAACATGTCTCACCCTAGTTTTTCTAGCCCAACAAATTGTGCACTTTTAGGGCTTTTTATTATATAACGATGGTCGCCCTTGGCAATAAAGACAGACATCTATGAAATATCAGATTATTAAAATCGGTCCGGTCTTGTAGTCGAAATATTTAGACTACCCAGTTTTCCAGCCCCGCAGTTTTAAACATTTTTAATATTTCTTCTTTTATCCTTTTTCTAATCAACCTTTTTGAAATTTCATGCAATTTTAACACACAAACTTGTCTACATCCCCATGTGGGGTTTGACATTAATGGAAAAAACATAGATATTCATTCTACTGTGGACATGTCTGTTTAATTGCTTCAATTTATCTCAAATTTTAAGTCTGTGATCTATCTATCCAATACTATCCATCTAATCTTTTATTAATGTTAAACCCCTTTTGTGGGGATATTGACATGCCTGCAACATCTAAATAACAAGAAAATTTAAAAAGAGGATGAAAGAAGAATATAAAAAATGTAAAAAATATTAAAAAGGTGTATGTGGGGAAGGGGGCTTTAGGTCTCAACTCCAAGTACTAGTATCTGTATTTTCCCCAGACACAAAATAAGATATTTAGAATGTCAGACCTTTTTTTTTTCAGCTAAAGCAGAAGCCACCCAAGAATCTGAAGTTTCTGGTCAGTCACCCAAGAAGCTACCAGCATCTGTTGTGAAGCCTGTGCCTATCAAACATGACCCCAGAAGTTGAGAAACAATTGTTGATTGTACTGTGTGATCTTGGTGTTGATACACCATGTACTTCAGATTATGTTTGTGAAATGAACATCAAAAACTCTTGGGCAGAAGTGCCAATATAGATTTAGTTGAGAAAATCTCCTTCAGAAATTTGCTGCTCAGCAAATGATTGTGTAAGTTTTATTGATATAATGTTGTTAATATTAATTTACCAAAAAAATTTAAATGTTTTGATGGTAGAGATATATTAATCACTATCAGGTTTGGTAAAACCCAAAGGTTTTTGATGTTTTTTCAACTTTAAAACTTTTGGAAGATAGTAATTACATCATAGGTTATTTAACTTTTGAGCCTGTTCAGACCTAGAAACTGTTATATATATTTAAAAGGATCTGTGAAATTTAATATCTATTGAAACAGGGTTTGTAAAAAGAAATGAAAGCATAAAGCATCAAGAAAAGGCCATCTTAACTGGTTCAGTCAGGCTGGATTTGTCTAAGGTAATTCGATTTAGTTAAGATGAACAATTAAAAATAAATATTCTTTTAATTTTAGCCAAGCCAATACTCCCCCCTTTTTGAAATAAGTAAAGTCAAATTATATATAAAACTTACATGTGAGTTGCCTTGTTTAAGTGGTTAAAGTTGCCACCTTTCATTAACTTGTCTAAATAAGTGATGAGTTGTTTCAGGCAAAGAAGTTGTTCAGCTAAGTCTTAAGTTGTAGTTTTTTTAGAGAACAGAAGCATTCTGGTACTTAAAGTAATCTTGATCTCTTAGTGATAAGTTCAATTTTGACCAACCAAACATCTTAAAGAAGTTACTTAATACAGAATTGTACATGTACATAAAGAAATGCTAAAAGTCTCTTGATGAATTAAGTTACTTAATAAAGAATTGTTTCATGTAGATAAAGAAATGCTAAAAGTCCCTTGAAGGTGAAAATATTGAACTGCTCTATCTCTTCCTACATATCACATTAAAAACCTGGAGATAGAACAGCATGATTTCATAAATGTTATTATAGGTTCTATATCTCCAAAGCAAAACATGCAGAACCATGAAAATAACTGGTTTTTGTTTTTTTTGTTTTTTTTGTTTTTGTTTTTGTTCAGAAATAAGCAAAATATAGGTTTGTAAAACATAGAGAGAAATTTTCTCAACAGTTATCCTAAAAGTTAATCTCTTAATGCTTTTAATTTTGCAAAAATTTGTTGATTATATATTTTACTACGTGTCAGACTTTGTCATATACATGCTTTTAAATTTGAAGATAATGTTTATTTATAGCTATCAGCAGTTGCAGACCAGACAGGAGCTAAAAGAAAGAGAGATGAGTAAGTTTCAGTGGGTTTATTTATATCCACCTTTGCTTTGTACTGATGCATGCTCTACTTAACTCTTCTCAGTTTTTAAATATAACCTTAAAGGCACATTATGCCTCAGAAATTCATATTTTTTAATTCTTTAGAAATGTCAAACATGTGTTAAATGATGTTTGATAGATTTACAGTATGTTACATTTTGTAAATACTGAAGGAAGTAGCAGTGAACATGCAGTAATGTCTCATAACGGTAGCAAAATGTAAACAATGTTTTTTTATTTCCATACAAAATACTGATTCACTATATTTATACCAATTGCTGACAGAGCAAAATCAGCAAAACATAGTTCATGTTTATGGAAAATAAGTATATTTTTTTATACTATAACAAGACAAGATACCAAAAAAAAAGTTTTTTAGAAATAAAATTGATGTCATTATTGAGGCATAATGGGCCTTCCTAAAGTTGTATATATTGCTTTTTAGAAGCCTATATTTTATGATTACTGTTATAGATATTTTTCTATAAATGAAGGAAGTCTGACATTTGTAGAAGAAAAGCACCATCTCCTTTTTTTTCTGAAAAAAAAATCTCTTTGTATGTTGTATATGAAGAGCATAGCATGTTTGAGGTATTCATATGTTACTTATTATCCCCCGCCAAAAAGGCGGCGGGGAATATAGAAATAGTCTCCGTCCGTCCGACCTTCCGCACTCACAGGAGAGTAATTTATGTCCGTCCTTCCGTCCGACATTTTTGTCCGGAGCATATCTCTAAAAATATTTGAGTTATCAACTTGAAACTTCATAGGTGGATAGACCTCATTGAGGAGGAGTGCAGTGCATAAGAATGATAACTCTACCCTGCATAATTTTTGAGTTATTGCCCTTTGTTATTTTTCAAAATTGATTTTTGTCCAGAGCATAACTCCAAAAGCCTATGAGATATCATTATGAAATTTCATAGGTGCGTAGATCTCACTCAGGAGGTGTGCAGTGCACAAGAATGATAACTCTATCTTTCATAATTTTTGAGTTATTGCCCTTTGTTATTTTTCATACTTAATTTTTCACCTGAGTGGAGCATAACTCAAAAAGTGTTTGAGATATCAGCATGAAATGTCATAGGTTGATAGATCTTATTGAGGAGGAATGTTGTGCGCAAGAATGATAACTCTTCCCTATACAATTTTTGAGTTATTGCCCTTTGTTCTTTTTCATGCTATTTTGTCCAGAGCTTATCTCTAAAAGTATTTGAGTTATCAACTTGAAACTTCATAGGTGGATGGATCTCATTGAGGAGGAGTGCAGTGCACAAGAATGATAAATCTACCCTGCATTATTTTGAGTTATTGCCCTTTGTTATTTTTCAAAATTAATTTTTGCCCAGAACATAACTCAAAAAGCCTTTGAGATATCAAAATGAAACTTCATAGGTGCATAGATCTCACTCAGGAGGTGTGCATTGCACAAGAATGATAACTCTACCTTTCATAATTTTTGAGTTATTGCCCTTTGTTCTTTTTCATACTATTTTGTCCGGAGCTTATCTTAAAAAGTATTTGAGGTATCAACTTGAAACTTCATAGGTGGATGGATCTCATTGAGGAAGAGTGCAGTGCACAAGAATGATAACTCTACCCTGCATAATTGTTTAGTTATTGCCCTTTTTTTTATTTTTCAAAATTAATTTTTGTCCAGAGCATAACTCAAAAGGCCTTTGAGATATCATTATGAAACTTCATAGGTGCATAGATCTAACTCAGGAGGTGTGCAGTGCACAAGAATGATAACTCTACCTTTTATAATTTTTTAGTTATTGTCCTTTGTTATTTTTCATACTTAATTTTTCAATTCAATTTTTTTCTCAAAAAGTATTTGAGGTATCAACTTGAAACTTCATAGGTGGATAGATTTTACTTAGGAGGGATGCAGTGCACAAGAATGATAACCTACCCTGCATTATTTTTCAGTTATTGCCCTTTGTTATTTTCAGCCATCAGTATTCACATAGGTTTCAAATCTGTAATCACTATAGCCATCAGTTTTCATTACCAAAAGACCTCTTAAAATGGAATTATTCTGCTCTACTACATATACATTCTTCCAATGAGCAAACACATTCGGCGGGAGATGGCCATGTTGACATGGCTCTTGTTATAATTATACATATATTATGTGTAAATAAATTACTTTGTGAAATTATACATGTACTAATGTATGTTTTTGCAGAAATGCTGAGGATGAGGCGAGTCAACCAACTGCCAAACAAAGTAAACAAACATCAAAACAAGATTCTAGCTTTAGTGTGGAGGTATATATTTCTTCTGAATTATTTTTCTGAAATCATCTTGGGGCGTTATTCCATTGTCTTTCACAAGACGATGGAAATGATACATGGTAGATTGGGAAATACTTGCTATATTTTTTATTTTGGCTAATATTTGTGAATTCACAATTTTTAACTGTCTACATGTAATCAAAAGTTTTCAAGAAGATTTTCTTTCAATTTTTTTTTAATTAAAATTATATAAAATTACTTGTTAACTGTGACTGTCCACAAAAACCAAAAAGGAGTAAGATTTTCAAATGATTAAAGTAGTAATATATTTCAGAGTTTATTATCAGTGCAGACAGCTAAAGAAAGAGAGAGTAAGAAGATGACAGAAGAGATAATGCAGATATTGAGTGCCCCAACAACTAAAGAGAAAAGTCTGATGGAGAGGTTTAAATCACAAGGAGGTGAGGTTATTTATATTTTGCTTGACCTTATAGTGAACTTGTTGTTGTTTATTTTTGCCAATCTTGAAATTGACAACTTTGTGATATCTTGTTGGCTGTTACGATATAATGACACCTTAATTAAAGGTTTTTTGACCACTTATTTAATCTTAAGTTAATAAAAAGAGACCAATTCAAGTTATTATAAGTATGTTAAACACCTAGGTAGAGTAGTAAAGCTGTATATTCCTTATTTTGTATGCTAGCTTGATGTGTTATCATATAACAGAGTTTTATACCTTTCTAGAATCAAACTAACATTATAATAGATAACTGACAATTATTTGACAGACAGGAATCATTTTACTTGAAGCAACAATAACTCAGGCTGGCTGGCATGTTAACACAATCTGACCATATATTATACAAGTGGAAGCTCAGTTTTACTATTGTTTCTGTAGATATCAGTCTCTCCATGGACAGTTCTGATTTCAAAGCAATAATCAAAAAAATAATATAGTAATGGTAAATGTATCAATGATAAGTTATTGAAGGACACGACTGATGGAAGTCATGCTCTGCAACTAATGAATCATTTTGACATACAGTCATGTTAAACTTTACTTGTAAAGATAATCCAACAGAAAATTGTAAAATTTATTTGTGTTTACAAATGGTCTCTTAAAACTGTGACGTTGAGCAGTAGTTGACCAAACTATTTGTGCTAGCATTTTACTGTCACATAAATTGTATGCACTGTTCACCCAATTAGGAGTCTTCTATTATTTTCCAGGTGCACAGTTACAGGAATTCTGTCAGTTTGGGACAAAGGAAGAATGTCTAAAACTTAATCAGGCTTCACAACCTTGTACAAAACTTCATTTCAGGAAAATTATTCATAAGCATACAGATGGTATTTTTATTTCTTTTTTTTTAATTGTTTTATATTTATTCTAATAAGATTGACTTATTTTTGCCCCACAGGAGGGCATGTTGATTTGCCCTTGTCCGTTTGGTCATCCGTCAAGCCAATAGTCATAGACAGACAAAAGAGTGGAATGTTGGGCACTGTAACTATTCAGGAAATGATTACAGTACATGAAAGTGAATGTCATTGTATTCTAATTGGTCTTTAAAAATTATCTGGATAATATCTTATAATTAATATGCACAGGTACACTTTCTGTGTTGCTTTTAATATGATTAGTGCTTCCTCTTCCTCTTCCAATACCGGTAATTATAACTTACTGCGCCTTGATTTGTCATTTTAGATTGTTAAATGAGTCTGTTTAAACTCAAAGTGTTGGAAAAAAAGAAAACCTATTCATATTGGACAATGTACCTCTAGGTCCAGCATTGTACTGTCCCTCAGTCTAAATACCCATGTTAATTTCATTTTGCTTTCAGAATCTCTGGGTGATTGTTCATTTTTGAACACATGCTTTCATATGGATACGTGTAAGGTGAGATTTTCTTACTGAATTCAAAAATTGAAAAGAACAGAATGAAAAGATTATTATGAGAATGACAGATCTACATTATAGAACTGCCTGTGTGTCATAGATCAATCATCTTTCTTTGCATAAAGTAGAAACTGATATAGGCCTTTCTCCAAATGGACAAAACTGTTGAACATTCTTTATCTCCGAAGTGTTAAAAAATTATGATAAATTAAACACTAAACAATTCAGGTTAATAAAACTTGATTTACTTGTGACAATATTTCAATATTTAAGGGATGTTAGTTGCTTTGTAGATAGTGGATTATTGTTTTTTTCAGTATGTACATTACAAAGTAGATTTTCCTGAAGATTCTCAGAAGTCACAAAATTTAAGGAAAGAAGCAAACATGGCCCTTGCAATGTCTTCAGATTCCAATGAGCAAGTGAACATGTTTCCACCACAGGTATGTACATATGTACACTTAAACTTTTCTACCACATGTATCTATATATTTCCAACACAGGTATGTATATATTTTACATGTAAATTCATTTGAATAGCAGATTGTTTTATTTTGCCATCACATAAATATATAGCAGTGTTGCTGGATTTTGTACCTTTTGGGGCTGATAGCAGACATATTACAGTAGAAAAGCAGACTGTGATAGAAATTCTGAGGAAAGAAGTTAAAATTTTGTCACCATATGTAGTATTATACAAAGTTTTAAGTTTGAATCTGAATGATAAAATATGAAAATAAAGATTGACAATGTAGTGCAAAATTTATAGAAAGCATCCGCTTATATATACAATTAAATATATACACATAGTAATTACATGGAAACTAACACTGATATTACTAAGTGTCTACTTCTTACTAGGAGAATTTTATTTTAAGTAACATTCTTTTCTAAAAGCAAACATTTGTAAAGCAAGAGCTATGGATTTAATCATGTTTGTTAATGTTAAAGCATGTCCATTCTTCTTCATATGTAGCCTTAATTAAATTATTGATAAAGCTATGAGTGCAATCATTATTATACCCCCAAAAACGAAGTTTGGGGGGGTATATAGGAGTCACCCGGTGGTCGGTCGGTTGGTCGGTCGGGCGGTCGGTCGGTCCAGACGTCCGTTGCATTTTCCTTGTCCGGAGCATAACTTGAAAACTAATTGTTGGAATTCAATATAACTACATACAATGGTCAAGCACATTGAGAGGAAGTGCAGTGCACAAGAACCATAACTCTATCTGGACTAATTACAGAGTTATTGCCCTTTGTTACTTTTCCTTGTCCGTGGCATAACTTGAAAACTACTGGTTGGAATTCAAAACAACTTCATACAATTGTCAAACACAATAAGGGGAAGTGCAGTGCACAAGAACCATAACTCTATCTAAAGTAATTACAGAGTTATTGCCCTTTGTTGCTTTTTCATTGCTTTTTTTTTTGTCTGTTGCATTTTCCTTGTCCGTAGCATAACTTGAAGACTAATGGTTGGAATTCAATATAACTACATACAATGGTCAATCACATTGAGAGGAAGTGCAGTGCGTAAGAAACATAACTCTATCTTGACTAATTACAGAGTTATTGCCCTTTGTTTCTTTTCCTTGTCCGTGGCATAACTTGAAAGCTACTGGTTGGAATTCAAAACAACTTCATACAATTGTCAAACACAATAAGGGGAATTGCAGTGCACAAGAACCATAACTCTATCTAAAGTAATTACAGAGTTATTGCCCTTTGTTGCTTTTCCATTGCCTTCTTTTTTTTGTCCGGACCATAACTTGAAGACTAATGGTTGGAATTCAATATAACTACATACAATGGTCAAGCACATTGAGAGGAAGTGCAGTGCACAAGAACCATAACTCTATCTAAAGTAATTACAGAGTTATTGCCCTTTATTACTTTTCCATTGCTTTCTTTTGTCCGGATCATAACTTGAAGACTAATTATTGCAATTCATTATAACTTCATACAATGGTCCAGCACATTGAGAGGAAGTACAGTGCACAAGAACCATAACTCCATTTTGACTTATTACAGAGTTACTGCCCTTTGTTTCTTTTCCTTGTCCAGAGCATGACTTGAAAACTACTGGTTGGAATTCAAAACAACTTCATACAATGGTCAAGCACAATAAGGGGAAGTGCAGTTCACAAGAACCATAACTCCATCTTGACTAATTACAGAGTTATTGCCCTTTGTTACTTTTCCTTGTCCAGAGCATAACTTGAAAACTACTGTTTGGAATTCAGTACAACTTCATACAGTTGTCAAGGACATTAAAAGGAAGTGCAGTGCACAAGAGCCATAACTCCATTTTGACAAAATACAGAGTTACTGCCCTTTGATACTTTTCCTTGTCCGGAGCATAACTTAAAACGTACTGGTTGGAATTCAAAACAACTTCATACAATGGTCAAGCACAATAAGAGGAAGTGCAGTGCACAAGAACTATAACTATCTTCAGTATTTATAGAGTTATTGCCCTTTGTTCTTTTTCTTTGTCTTTCTGGACTTATTACAGAGTAATTCAATTAAACTTCATCAATGGCCAACCACATTGAAAGGAAATGCAACATACATGAACCACAATTATCTTTAATTGCCCACAACCATAACTCTATGTTTCAATTCTATTACAAGGTATTCTGTTACTAGTAACATCCTCATTTCCGAAGCAGACTTGTGGGGGTATTAATCACATTTAGTGATAGTTCTAGTTTGTATAACTGTTACAATAAAGTGGCTGAATTGAACAATTTCAGTGGATTCAGTGTGACATAAGGTACCTGGACATGCAGGTATTGGGTAAATGTGCTGTAATCATGGCTGATCCACCGTGGGATATTCACATGGAGTTACCATACGGTACCATGCAGGATGACGAGATGAGAAAGATGCCTGTACCATTAATGCAAGATGATGGATATATCTTCCTGTGGGTCACTGGCAGGTATGAGATACTATACATTGATTGTGGGGTTGGGGGAGGGCAATCCGTGTCCAAGTGGTAAAGAATGTTGACTTGAAAGCGCTTGCCCTTCAACACTGTGGGATCTATTTGCTCCAAGGACTATATCTAGGAAACCCCCTGCTGTGGACCTAGACTTAGAGGATTTTTTCATGTGATTAAGCAAGCTGGCAGAATGTCTGGTTCTACTCATCAATAAAGCTGGAAAGTCGCCGTATGAAAATACTGTCAATAGAATTTCCTTGATAAGTACACAGCAACTGTGTTAAAAAGGAATAGAATGACTTTTTCTTATATTTGATATTCTTCAAATTATTTCTTCACCTAAAACTTGACTTTGTAATGAATGTATATGAACACATTGCTCTGTTACAAAATCAGTGAAAGAAAGAACATTATATCAAAGTGACATTATACCCATCCTATAGTGAGTGAACAGGCGAAAGTTTTCATTTTGCGATAATTCATTACAATTTTATAATATACCTCACATGAATGATAAATAACTCACATGGCCCAAGGAAAGTTCTTTAAATATCTATCAGAAGTTACCACTAAGTTCAATTTCATGAAAGAGTGAGATAGTCTTTTATATTTTAGGCAGATTTAGATTTTATCCTGAACATTTTTCAGTATAAATTGTTGGTCAATCACTGTTAAAACAGTCATTCTTTTGTAATACATGTATATTATTGTTAATTCAGCTCAAGTTGACAATGAAAATATGAACATAATATTACTTTAAAGCATTTTAATTTGTTATAAATTTTGTAGAGCTATGGAGTTAGGGCGAGAGTGCTTGGAACTATGGGGGTATGTTATATTTTATTTTTCTATACTACCAGAAGTACTTTTCATATTGCTTAACATCATATAAACAGCCATAGGGCAAAAAGTTATCAGACTGAAAAAATATTTAGAGTAAAATTGCTTACTTATGAATATGGAACAATATCAAATACACAATGTTTTGTTCAGATAAACTTAAGATACTGATAAATTAAATTGTTCAGCAATTCTTTTGACAATTGCTTTGTGTCATAATTATACAAGTAAGAAAAGAGATATAATTGATGCATAATTATGCAAATTGTATGAGGTTAAAAAAAAATTGGAAGATTTCTCTTTGTTTACTAGAATAGGAGTAATATTTTTATTTCAATTAACCATACATAACCTATACAGCGTTGGTGTGACAAGAAACCTAACAAATGTAATATTATTATTGAACTATTTGAGCCGCGCCATGACAAAACCAACATAGTGCGTCTGCGACCAGCATGGATCCAGACCAGCTTGCGCATTGCACAGTCTAATCAGGATCCATGCTGTTTGCTGTCAGTTTCTGTACTTGTAATAGGGTTTGTAAGTGAACAGCATGGATCCTGATAGGCTGGTCTGGATCCATGCTGGTCACAAACGCACTATGTTGGTTTGTCATGGCACGTCTCATTTGTAGATATAAAAGAATAGATGAGATAATATGGGTAAAGACAAATCAGTTACAGAGAATTATACGTACAGGAAGAACTGGTCACTGGTTAAATCATGGCAAAGAACACTGTCTTGTGAGTACAATCAGAGATTTTCTATGTAAATATCTGTGTGATATTCCATTCATATATAGGTAATGTCATGAAAAGTAACTGATATTATGCTGGATTATCTACTTACTATGGAAGTTAAGTTGGGTCTACATTTAAATTTATGATAATCTAAATGGTACTGAAATAATGTGATGTATTTGTTTAAATTTGGTCTACATGATAAGAAACTATATTGAACTACATGATATAGAACTTGTCTTAACCTGTCTACATAAAACAAAAAATATGTTTGAACTACATGGTACAGAATTAGACATAATATAGAACTTATTATAGTTTGATTACATGGTACAGAAATTGTTTGGTCTACATGATAACTGAACTTTTTTATACTGTCTACATGATATTGCCTGTGTGATATAAAACTTTTACTTGGTCCATATGATACAGAGCTTATGTAAATGATGAATCTACATGATTCAGAAGTTACCTTGGGTCTACAATCAAGTACATTATTACTGTAATGCATGATGTATGCACAGTATTAAAACAAATGCTTACATGTCATATGACATTAGATATGACATTGATATCTGTTTCATAAACACAGTTTGATTTAATGACTTTTTGTTATTGTTGATAAAAATTAATCTTTATAGGTTGGAGTAAAAGGGAATCCAAAAGGAGTTAACAAAGGTCTTGACTGTGATGTTATTGTAGCTGAGGTAAGCTATTAAGCTTTCAGTCATTTCTAGCTTGATCATACTTGGGACATATAAAACAAAATTTCTGCAAAGTTTTTATTACTGCATCCAGTATCTAACTAGATGAGCATGCTGTCTTCCTAGGCAGCCTTTGTTTGTTTGTTTTATGATGTTAACAAGAGATTCTTGTTTACTGTCTATGATGGCTATGAATCTGTGTTTAGCTTTGATCCTTGTGATTGGCATTTGAGCCGCGTCACGACAAAACCAACATAATGGGTTTGCGACCAGCATGGATGCAGACCAGCCTGCGCATCCGTGCAGTCTGATCAGGATCCATGCTGTTCACTATCAGTTTCTCTAATTGTTATAGAGTTGGTAAGCGAACAGCATGGATACTGATCAGACTGCGCGGATGCGCAGGCTGGTCTGGATTCATGCTGGTCGCAAACCCATTATGTTGGTTTTGTCATGACGCGGCTCATTTTTCTTTACTTATATTGTAGAACCATGCAAATAAAACTGATATATAGTTTTCTTGGGATATTCTTTGGTTTCAACAATATTAATTTTATTTCTTCTTTCATATTTTCAAACAAAATTACAATACATAAATTTCATCCAGGATTGAGTAGAAAGCTTAAAGCTCATTTAAAACCTCTCTCCTGGTATTTTCTATATTATGAGATAGTGTATAGCACATTGTTTGAATATACATACAAGGAATACTTTGTTACATAGTTAATTTTTTATTTTATTATATATTTTGAATTATTTGCAGGTGCGGGCAACAAGTCATAAGCCTGATGAGATATATGGTATTATTGAAAGATTATCCCCAGGCACTAGGAAGGTGGAGCTGTTTGGAAGACCTCATAATGTCCAACCCAACTGGTGAGCCTCATTTGAGCCGTGTCATGACAAAACCAACATAATGGGTTTGCGACCAGCATAGATCCAGACCAGCCTGCGCATCCGCGCAGTCTGATCAGGATCCATGCTGTTCGCTATCAGTTTCTCTACTTGTAATAAGGTTGGTAAGCGAACAGCATGGATCCTGATCAGACTGCGGGTCGCAAACCCATTATGTTGGTTTTGTCATGACACGGCTCATTTTTACTATTTCTGTTAAATGAAAGATGAATAGAGATAAAACAGTTGTGCTTATCAGTTTCAATGATACATACATTGTAAATATACATTAGGTGAAAATTGCTAATTGTGAACTGATCATTGTATGTATATAAAAGGATTTAAAATCAAAATGTTAAAATGAAGCAACAGCAGAGTCAGATAAGCTTAATGTTAATAGTGTTGGTGTGAATTTAAACCAAACAAAAAAATATCTTGAAAGTGCTGTAAGGACATAAAAAATCCAGTTATGACTCAAAGATTCTCTAAAAATAGACCAAATTTCATTGGTTAATAGTTTACATTTAACTATTTGAATTAGTAAAACCGTCCAGTTAGTTCAATAGGTAGAGATGTTGCATTGTGAATAGGGCAACAAGGGGTTTGATTCCCAGACAATGCAGGTCTCTTTCATTTTGATTGATGTGAAATCCTTTCTACGGTCATACCCAATGTATGTCTGTTCTTGAATGTACAGAAGTTATCAGTTCCTTGCAGAAGTTAAGGACTAGTACTGGTAAGCTGCTTGACAGCCTGTCCTCGAACTGCTTGGCTGATCTATGCTCTGGTCGATAAAAAATGGCCTACTACCATGATCCCAAGTTTAAATTACTAGGTAGCACCAACTTACAGGGTAGTAATCTGTGTTTTTGATATTACAGGATTACACTTGGCAATCAATTAGAAGGGGTTCGACTCGTTGATCCAGAAATTGTTAAACGTTTTAAGGAAAAATATCCAG